TGGGGACAGACAGACGGGATCAGCCGTGTTATGTGCTGGAGACAGCGCGACTGCATTTTTTCCTAAGCGCAAATCAAGTGTATTTACTGATCGTAATACACTGCATTGTTATTTGGTGCTGTTGCACCAAACAGAGCACAACACAAATAGAGTATTTGGTGTTGAACTCTAGAACAACACCTGGAGTACACTTTTCTGCTCTGAAAGACGTTATTGTACATCTGTTAATTCTCTTTCAACGGACCCTAATCTGAGCCACAAGACATTGTGAATCGTATTTTACATTTAAGTTTGACAGTAAAGACTATATTATGAACAGATGGTAGCAAAGGCTACAAGAAAATCTCTGTGTGCAAAATGGAATTGGTAAATTTCTATAGCAGTCAACAGTAGCAGTCTACTAGATTCTGAATAATTGAGTAATACTGCATTTCCGTTCATTTGCTTAGCTTTCAGCGTGTTTGTCCTAAGGCAGGAAATTTGTGTCCATCTTATTGACAGTGTTCGTGTCTTTAGATGAGGTTACCCATTAGCACAGAACTTATTAAGGGAGAGTTTGCAACCACTTAAAATCCAAAATTGGATAAAAATCTCATACAGACAATGAAGGTTAAAAGATTTCCAAACTCAGCAAGAATGTTTCACAAAAGCATAGCTTCATGTTATTACTTCCTTTATTGTTTATATTGATATGCAGTTGCCATATTATAAATCCATTATGGTAGTAGTGACCTGCTTCTAAAAGCATAGTAAACTGAATTACAGTATCCAAAGACTAGAATAGTTTAGTTTACTGACTTGTCTGGACAATCCAGGATTACATAAAAGGCTTTCGGTTCTAGTTATTACCTTTGAGAGGCTTTGTAAAATGTATATATTTTTTGTACTTAGAGTAAAATGTACTGCGGTTGTACTTGCATGTGTTAAGTCTTGATTTTCAGTGTCGTGAGAGCAGCTTGTTTGGAACTGTGGCCACAGCAGCCCCCTCTCTCCCGGGTGGGACCCGAGCCTGGAAAGGGAGAGGCGCTTGCTTATCCTCACACCACCCCCGTGCACGGTGGGACGCAGGCGTGTGCATGCAGCGAACTGGACCGCGTGCTCTTTTACCAGAGGAGGAGGCTTCACAGTAAACTACCAAGACACGAGGAGTTGGATGTTCAACAAGCGTGACGATTGCGAATTTTCACCTACTCACAGAGATAAGAGTCACGTTGATTCTTTTTCACCCAGTGTAGTCAGACTCCCCTGTAGGTTTTTAACTGTAGACTTGGATGTTACAATTTACAGTATTTCAGTTTCCAAGGAACTTTCTAGATGAAGAGGAAGGGGAGGGGCCTGAATGAGCCAAAATTAGAATTTTTGATGGGCAGAGATAGAGAGGCCCTTCCACGACACCAGGGGAGGGGCCTCTGATGTGTGAACGTCACCTCTGCAAGTGGCAGGGCCTCTGGGCTCGGGGCTGGACTGGCCTCCGTGGTGTTTCTGGGCCAGCTCCCGGTAGTTAAATAGCTCGAGCTGGAGGCAGCACTGTTTTACTAGGACGATCCCTTAGAAGACTGTTAGGTCTGCAGCTTGAATTCGTTGAGCTGCTACGATTTCTGTTTCAAAAATCTGACCATTGCATCTGTTGGTTTATATTTACGAATCCACCGCGCCCATCACGTAGCAGGTGAGGTGGTGTTACTCTCCCCTCGCTGCCCCCGATCAGGGACCCGCTCTCTGTTCCCCACATCTGGAGAAGGCGGGAGGCAGCTTCCAGTTAATCCCAGTCATTGTGAGAAATTGGAATAATTTTCAGCCTTTAAGAAGGACAGCTCAATGTAATATCATTTTTTAAATCTTCCATCCATCAACCCTTCCCCTTCCTCCGCAGCCAGGCTGGCAGCTTTCAACCAGCCCTGGGCAGAGGGCGGGACCCTCTGCTCTTCCGGGGCCTCCTCTCCCCCTGCAGTCAGGGCCAGGCAGGGGGGGGCGGAGAGGGAGGGTGGTTCTGGCCACTCCCTCACATAGGGTCCCAGTGCGGACCTCTGCAGGCACACATCCGTGAATTCCTCAACAACTCCATTTGTCCTGGTCCTTGAAAGGCAAGTCCCTCTTCAGACGGCCTCTTGTGACTCCCAGCAGCTCCCCACATAGCCTGGCTCTCCCAGGACTCACTCACCCAGGCACCAGAGGGTGGCCTGGGCACCCTCTGGTGCCCTGCCCTGCACTGTCGTCCTGGGCTGCTCAGGCAGTCTCTTCACAGGGCCCCAGGCTCCTGCGAGCCCGTGCACTTCTGAGCCCGAAACTCGCCTGTGGGCATTGGTGGAGGCCGCGTCTGGCCAGTGCTGAGTCTCAGGGTGCGCGGTCAGCCCCCATCTGGAGGACAACCCCAGGTTCCAGGAGCACGTCTGTGTGCCCTCTCCCCGGGAGCTCTGTGCAAAGACTGCTCTTCGCAGGGCAGCTTTCGCTCACTTGCCCCAGGGTGTCAGGCGGAGGTCACTGGGCTGGGTTGGGCACACTAAGCAGGTGGTGCTGGGACGGGCCTGGGGGCCTCTCGGGCTGGGGAGGTATCACCCTTACCCCCCTCGCTGGGCTCTGGTTGGAATTTGGAGGCAATGAGAAGGTTTGGTTCCATTCGGATTTGAGGGGTGTTTGCTCATGTTCATGGATAGGGAGGCTGAATCTTTCTAAAGTTTCTCCTGTTGGTAAAATATGCTGAGACTTGTCCTGAGTCCCTTTATTTGGTAGCTGAGCATCTTAAGAAAACCAAAACTCAGGGAGTAACCTCCAAAAGGCCTTAGAACAAGTACAAGTAGTATTTAATGCCTCCCACTCCCATTCCCAAGGCTAAGGAATTTATTTAACAGGAGATTCCCTTGGGTGTCTCCTCAGTGCCCAATGGTGATGACTTTTTCATATAGCAGACTTAAGTCATTGAATGCTGTAATAGTGTTCTTGCATTGCAAATGATAGAAATCACCTTGAAACTGTTTATCAATTAGGATGCTGTTAGTTGCAAGCAAGCAAAAACCAAACTCAAATTGACTTGACAAATAAAGGACATGATGCATCTAGAGGCTTCAGGAAAAGCTCGTTCCACATTCTCTTCAAGGGCCAGTTTCTTTCTTTCTTTTTTTTTTTTTTCCTGCGTAGGTTTGGTTCCGTGTTAAACCCGACTTCCCGTGTGAGGCTGTGAGGCATCGGTCAGAGACCCCGACTCCACACATCTCTGTGTGTGTGTCCACTGGGAAGCTTTTGACTCACTTCTGAGACCGAGAAAGGAAACTCCTTTCTCCAAAGCTCCCAGGAAATTCTTGTTATTGCTCCAGGAGCACACACTTGGTCACGTGTTCCCTTCTGCTCTGGTAATGGCGCCAGAGGAAGTGGGTCATGCTCACCGGATTTAGTCTGGAACTGAGGGTTCAGGGTCAGTTCTACCCAACACGTGTGATTAGAAATTGGGGAAGCTGCTGAGAAGGAGGAAGCAAAGAGTGGGTGCTGGGGAGCAGCTTTGGGGGGAAACGCCGAGTTTATCATCAGAACACAGAGATGCCTGGCAGCAGCTAAGGCCAGGAGGGCCTGGGCCGCAGGCAGGGGTGCGGTTGGGATGAGAAGCTCGATGGAGTCCCTGGCTTGCCTCTTGTTTCTGCTCACTAAGCCTCTACGTGATGAGAGGCTTAGAAGACAGCTTCTCATGGCCCCCACGTTCCAGTATCATGGTTACAGATACAGAGAACTTGCCGCCAGCTTTGGCTCCAGCTTCTGCTTGGCTGGGACGGACCCCTGATTAGCCTAATCAATGCATGCAGCACACACACACGGGGACATGATACACAAACACGACCTCTGGGAACCTGCCCTGTGTCTCGGGCGAATTGAGGGGCCGCAGGGAGTGAGGCAGCCTTCACGCAGTGTCCACCATGGGCCACCTTATCGTGTTGCAACCTGTCAACGAGAAAGGAAGGGAATTTATGAACAGGACACAAATTTAAGGGTATGGCAAAGCGTCAGGACAGGCTGTTCCATGTGGTCCCCAGTGGACCGTATCCATGACAGGGGTTCTGATCATTTAATGTTAACACTAGGTTCACACTGTTTCAGGTAAATTGCAACTAGACTCCCAGGGAGTAATGCACGTCCATTACAGTGCCGGTTAGTATAACCTACAGTTCCCTTACTCTGTCGCAGTTCCCTCAAACCTCCGCACATTGTCAAGATTAATTGTTAAGATTCCCTGCATTGTGTATCTGCAGTTACTTCTGATACCAGTTCTAAGGCGATGTGATCGTCTCTTTCAGCAAATGCTTCCCTCTCACTAAATGGTGTCCTTGCCTCCCCCCAGAACGTGCACGGTGTGATTTACTGTGATTGGACTGATGAACAGGGCTATTCACCTTAGTTCCCAGAGGCGAACTTGCCACCCAACTTTATAGATTTGCTCATTCCCAAGTTTGGGTGGCAAAACTCAGTGTGTCTACTGAATGGTTTCTCTGTGCCGACGTCTGATGCACTTGAGAAGTAAGGACCCTCAGGCACACAGTACTGCAATGAAGAAACAGAGATTTATTACCAGGGGATGAAAACCAGTCCTGCTCACCCATCCGTGTGGCCGGGACACCGAGAGACTGGGCGGGGTGCCTCCCTTACGTCTCCATGCTGCCCTCCCAGGCCCGGCGTTCCGGGTGCATGGCCCGTCTGCAGAGGCGGTTGGGAAAGTAGACTCAGGTCGGACTCCTGCAGCAATGAAAAGGGCTGGGTGGGGATCCCAGCTCCTTCCCTGGGAGACTGCGGAGATCACGGCCCCTCGCAAGGTCTCCTTCGTGGGAGGGGAATGGCGACCATCAGAACAATGATAAAACCCTGCCTCAGAGGGCGTCGCTCTCAAACCAAGTCTGGGCCTCTGTTCGGCATACTCTCCCCTGTGAAATTCCCTTTCGTCCCCATTCTTTCCTAAGCTGTTTGCTTTGCTTTCTTCCAGAAAAAGCAGACATCTCCATTGCCGGCTAAGCATCAGAGCCGACTGTGACACACAGCCCCGCACTCTCCCGAGAGGCCGCAGAGGCGACCGAAATCCCCTCCCACTGCCCACTGACCCAGCCAGTGGCTGTGCACTTGCAGGACAGACGGCAGCCAGTCCGCAGGAAGACCGCATGGGCGCACCGCCCGCTACCCGGAGTCCGTCCTCACGGCGCTCGGCAGGGTGAGTGTCTGTGTTAGCCAACTGACTCTCTCCAGGGGACAGAAAACACTTCTCATGTCTGGGACAGGCGTCATTTTGTCTCTTGGACAGAGACCCACCTGAGCTTCCAGCCTTCCGCCGACACTGGGGGGCGGGGGGCAGGCTCCCTCGCCCAGCTCTGCTTGCCTAGCAGTTTGCTCCTTTCTTTTCATTTACTTTTAGACAGTCCGCTCTTTTAAAGTTGGGGTGTCGTTGGCATAGAACCCCGTAGTAGTTTCAGGTGTACAACACAGTGACTCACACTCGTACATCCTGAGAACAGTCACCACGCCAGGCCTGATTCTCTTCCATCTCAGCAAGTCCTTGTCCCCAGGGGAAGATAGAGGGAAGACAGAGGAAGACATTTCACCATTGTCCTAATGTCCCATCGGCCTAACTGTCACCTCGTCCTCCTCATTGTCTCCTTCAAAGAGTTCCCAGCACTTCTCTGGGAACCGCTCCCTCCCTCAGTGTAACCCCTCTCAAGTCAGGCCCCTCTCCAAGGAGCAAAGGCCACTTCTGAGTGGGGACCAGCCCTCCCTTGTGCTCCGAGCCCCAGGGCCCCCCCTACACATTGAATTGTGGCTGGTGTGGACTGACAGCCAAGCAGTGGCCGTGTGTGTCATAATGCCCACCCTCCTTGGCCAGCACCTGTATTTGTAGGCACAAGCTCTTACAAGCAAAGCAGGTGACGTGTGTGCAGAGTAAAGGCAGACACCTAGGGACAATGGCAGAGCAGCTGCCTGGGGCAGGGCTGCGCTCCACGCAGCGCCAGGCCTGGCACAGTGGGCACAGCGGGCGGACTCACACTGAGAAGACCCACCGCACGCAGGCCCGAACCCCAAGGGCCCTTCTTGTGATAGAGACGGGTTTGCAGGGGTGTCGTTGGGACACCTGCTCTCTGCCAGAGTCTCAGCTCCGTCTGAAGGGCTCAGGGCAATGCCGTCTTCATCGCTTTGTGGTTTGGACCCCAGGAAGGCTTAGTCAAGTGCAGTGTCCTTTTTGTCTCTATTTTGGTAGTAATTTTATTTATTTTATTTTAAACATTTAAAAATTTACTGATAGATTTTAGTGAGGAAGGGAGCAGGAGGGAAGCCGGGAGAGAGAGATCGATCTGTTGTCCCACTTCTTTGAGCGCTCGTTGGTGGACTCGCGTGTGCCCTGACCGGCATCAGATCCGCAGCCTCGGCGTGCCTGCGCAGCGCTCTGCCCGCTGGTCGCCCGCCAGGCTGGGTCTCCGTTTTGGGCTTTTCCTGTCGTAGCACCATGTGTTCAGTGACACCCTATTTATGGTGAAGAGGACTTCGACAGAACCCAGGACAACCAACCTATGTATAATATCATTAGTACAAATACACAGTTACAAGTGTGCATCTCACCAGAGTGTGAGCTTAGACAGGGAAAGGAAAAATAATCCTGGAGAAAGACACAACCATATGGATTGATTTTGCTGCTAAACTTTCCAGCCTGGCACTGCAGCCACGTGGCTCTTGGTTCCTTCGGCAGCACTGCCCCCCAGTGGCCGGAGGGCTTCATCAGCCGGCGGAAAGGGAGACGAGAAGAGGGAGAGCCGGCAGTGGCCTCAGGGCAGACAGGAGATGGAGCAGAAGTGTTCTGATGGAGTGGTGGGGGAGGCTGCCAGGGAGGATGTTGGGGAGGGTCCCGATGGGCACCAGGGGGTTGCTTTTGCCGCCCGCCCGTCTCTGTTGGTCAGCTCTCTTGGACTTCTTGGGATGGAGGAGGTATTGCTGTGTGTTCTGCTTTGCCCTGAAACCCCGTTGAGGGTCGGTGGTATTTCCTGAGTGCCCTGCTCAGCCACCGTGTGCCCAGAACTCCCTTCACCCTGGAGAACTGGACTCGGAGATTGGACGAGCACTCTGCACACCAGGTACTTGGCAGGGGAGGTGGCAGGGCAGCTGGGGTCCCCGAGGAAGCCCCCACACTGGGCATTTGCCCTTTGTAACCACATCAGAGGCTCGTGGCCAAAGAGGGGCCTTGTGCTTGTTCATAACTCATGCCCACCTAATTCCAGTGAAGGAGGGCGCCTCAGTGACAAGCACACCCAGGGAGACAGTGCTGAGGAAGGAGCAGGCAGGGCGGGGGCGTGGCTTGCAGCCATCGCCATGGGCAGGCGTTCCATCCCATTGTCAGTTTCCTGGTGGCCAGGAAAAACTGGGCGGAGGAGCATTCTGTAGTTTGCATTGCCTGGAAGGAGACAAGATAACTGTCCTTCAGAGACGTGTAGTTCCTATGATGGGATGGAGGTGTTAGTTCATGCTGCGGTGGTATCATTTGACTATACATAGAGGTATCAGACCTTAGACTTCACAATGTTATGTGCCAATTATATCTCAACAAAGCTGGGAAAATTTTAAATGATTTAGAAGAGAGACAATGTTTTACATAGTTCCTGGTATTACATTCCAAGAGGGATTTACTATAGTACTTCTAGACCAATATATAACACTGACTTGAAGGTCATCTACATGTATAGTTGAGGCTGTTCCCTGGGCATTTGAAGATCTGAGACTGTACCGGTCAGGTACCAGGTATGATGAGTAACTGTGGAATCGACCAGGGGGACCCCTAGTGGGCCATGGAGTTATTGCACAGTGTCCCTGAGCCAGGATTCTAGTTGCATCATTTTAGGAGTGAAAAGGTTGTTTTGTACAAACATACCAATATTTTTTAAATATGAGGGTGAGCATAAGTATGTACCATAATTACTGACTTTACATTACCTTTTGGTTGTTATAAATTTTACTCACTTAGGTTTTAGTAACAATACACCTACTAAAACTCTGATATTACAAGTAGGTCCTTGTGCTTGAGAAGGTGCAGACCGTGGAGCTGGTGTGTGTGCTCCAAGCAGAGAAGGTGACCCCCTCCCCTCGCAGTGGCTGTTTTCCACGTGGTGAGATCAGCTGCCAGGCTCCGCTGGGCTCCGGTGCTCTGCTTCGTTCGGTGACCAGCCTTGTGGCCTGAGGAGGCCCAGGAGAACCTCGGGGCTTCTCCAGTGAGCGCTGGGCTCAGGGAGCTTCAGCGACTTGCTGTGCTTTCCTAAATGAAGGTCAGGAGCAGCCCCGACGGCCACTCCTGCTCAGACAGGCGGTGGAAAGAGGGGCCACCATGGGCCAACGCTGAGCTGTGGGGCAGCTTGCCGCGGGCCCCCAGCCCTTTCATGTGCGGAAGGAAGAACTGGATCAGACACAGAGTCTCTCTGCTCTTGAAATGTCTGGGGGAGGAGAAGAAGTCAGGCAGTAAATTGGGGCAGAATTTGCAGCCGTGAAACTCACGTTTCCGTGGAGTGCCACCTCTTCCCAAGGCTGACTCCACATGGCTCCAGAGGCCACGCCTGAGCCGTGTGCCAGCTGACATCAGACGGCCCTCGGGCCCCCAGAGCAGGGAGGTGCCCTGGGCCCTGGGTCGCATGGCTCCCCTCGGCTGGCAGAGAGCAGGATGACGGCCTCAGAGTCCAAAGCCCAAGTGGGCATGGCCAAGCCTCCAGAGAGAGGCTGGCTCACGAGCCATGTTTCTGCCTCGGCTGCCACAGCGGGGCCACTAAACAGGCCCCGCATGTTTGCCAAGGAGATTGCCAGGGCCTCACCCAGTTTCCAGTTGTGACCCTCAGGGCATATGGAGACGCACACACGTGTCTGAGTGTCAAGCCAAAGATGTTTCTTGCTCTATCCCCCGCCCCATCCAGTCATGGCTCCATGGCTTGGCCATCAGAACTTAGTATCTTTGAGTGACAGCTCTTTGGACTTACTAAGAATGCAGGGCTTCTGGTGGGTGCCTTTGCCAGACCAGAGAGAGGAAGGTTTGCTGACAGGCCAGCCACATGGCACCTCTCCGTGACACCAGGTGGGTGGCCCTGCTCTCCTTCCCGGCCCATTACATTTTTATATGGGAGCAGTTCTCTCTCGAGTTTTGGGCTGGGGGATGCATGGGGTCAGGCCACTGAGGGGCTTGACTATGGCCAGCATTTTCAGATTCCAAAATTTCTGTTTTCTCAGAGTTAGATTGTTGGCAGATTCAGGATCATGGTAGAACCCCTGGCCCAGGGTCCTGCACAGACATAACTTTGCAGCCAGTCAGCAGGGGGCTCAACAGTGTTTATTAATGACTGTTACATGCCAGGTCTTGTGTCTCTTTTTCCAAAATCCTCACCCAAATATATGCTTGTTAGTTTATAGAGAGAGAGGAAGGGAAACAGAGTGAGGGAGAGACGCTGATCAGTTGCCTGCCATGTGCACCAGACCAGGGGTCGAACCTGGGACCTTTGGGCTTATGAGGTGATGCTCTAACCAACTGATGTTCCAGCCAGCAGAGCCACCTGGCCAGGACTTGAGGTTGGCTCCTCACTGGGCATCTGCAAAGATGAATACATGCTTTTACAAGCGCATGGGGACACATGGCTGCGACATGAAGTAGAATTTCACAAAAGAAAACTTCAAAGTGGCAAAAAACATCCAAGTGTGTGTGATTCCCTAGCAATTAAGGAAGTATAAGTTAAAATGAGAAATCATTTCTTTTTGTGTCTGTTTGACAAAGGTCAGAAACAATGGCTATGCCCAGGCGGCTCTCCTGCAGTACTGCTGGGACACCTCCTTTCAGGAACAGTTTGGCCACGCGCATCAAAATAAAAATGCCCACCTTGACCCACCAATTCCCATTTTGGGATTTTTAATAAAGTAAATAGTAGGAAAGGGACTCAAAGGTGTGTAGACAGAGATTTTCATGGAAATATTGTTTGTAGAAATGTCACTTGCAGTGTTGCTAAGAATCCATGTGACGGGTGGCTGTGCAGCCGACGTGTGCCTTTGTGAGGCCAGCGATGCACAGAAGTTACAGAGTGCAGCGCATGGTCCAGTCTGTGTTTCGGAAAAGGGTGCACACTGTACTTACATACATGGAAGAATGTTAGGGAAGAGCCCCGGACATGATTCACACAGGCTGATCTCTCGTTTTTTATGGTTGTC